AAAATATAAATCCAGTTGACTTTACATAATAATGAGCTCTCTTCTTTTACAGCCTTGTAACACTTCCATGATTTGTGGTAACCATGTCTTCCAGACACTGCATGCACACTGAATATCCAAAAAGGAAATGAAGTAATAAAATAGTGTGCGGAGTGTCATCAGCTCTGTTCATTGAGGGATCACAAAGTAAAATACCCATGAGGTGAAACACAAAACTTACAGCTGGAGAGAGGCTGTGACAGTGAAGACACAGACTAGAATTACAAGTTGCAGATCAGAAGTCCAAGGGCTTGCATAAATTCTGAGGGGGGGACGTCATTTAGCCTTGAATGCTCTATGCCACACATGTGTACATGAAACATGTAGTTGGTGGCTACTAAATATGTCCTGTCTTGCTAGGTTCTGCAGCCAAGACTGCCCTGCCCTAAAGAGGCCGGACGTCCCGCTGATGGCGGTCCATGTTTGCCCTACTGTGCGGCTTCCCCAGGGGGGGCAGCTCACTAGGGGAGGGGTCTCGACAGGCCAGGCCACTCTGGAAAGTGTGCAGGAGCCTCTCCAGGAAAGGTGACAGGCACTCCATTCCCCCCACACCCCCCACATGCCCTCTGAGAACTTTGAGAGCTACAAGGCTAGAATGAGCTTTACAACCTCAAAGGGTGGCTCTATGGGCACAAAAACTTACTACGGGAAAATGAAGATCTAATGAAGAAAAAAAATGAAGGGCTTACCAGTGAAGACCTACAGTGCAGTGCTACTGTATCATTTACGGGATCTCTCTGCACAGGCGTGACCAGAAAACTTGAGCATTTTGTTCTTAGAAAATAATAAAGATCTAGTATTTTGAATCTAATTTATGATTTATAAAATCTGCACATTTTGGTTTCATGTAACTTTTCATGGTAACATTAAGATAGCAAAATACTACATTTCTCTTTTGTATATAAAGAAACGGGCCCTGGCTGGTGTAGCTCAGTGGACTGGGCGCGGGCTGAGAACCAAAGCATCACAGGTTTGATTCCCAGTCAGGGCACATGCCTGGGTTGCAGGCCACAGCCCCCAGCAACCACACATTGATGTTTCTCTCTCTCTCTCTTTCTCCCTTCCTCTCCTCTCTAAAAATAAATAAATAAATTCTTAAAAAAAAACCAAAAAAACCAGAGACCCAGATGAGTTAAATAACTTGCCTTGCTCTCACACCTCGTGAGTGGCAGAGCCAGAAATTAAAGCTAAGTCTTCTGAACCAAAAGCCAGTGCAGTTTCCACCACAAAGGAGAACCACTTAAAAATAATACTGATTTCTCTCTGTCTCTAAATATATATTTGGTTGTGGGCAATGGACTGGCTAAGAGTCAATAATAATCAAAGCTTAACGATGAATAAAGACCGAAAGCTGGGACTGAAAATTCCACAAATGCAATAATGTCTGAACTTCAGCAAAACTAGGAACCACCAGTCCAAGTAATCATATATACAAATGCTTTTTTTTTTCCCAGACAAAAAGGTCCCAACACAATTTCTAGGTAAACAAGCAGTTCAAAATGGAAAAAGAAAATACAAACTTTCATTTGTAAGGTACCACAATATGGTTCTTAAATGATGCTACTGGCAAATAAGTTATTCCAATGAAACTTCTGAGTGTTTTTATATGAAATGCTTAAGAAAAAAAAAAAAACTAAGTGCACAAGTACATCCCATTAAACAAAGGTTACATAATCCGTACTTTAAAAGTATGATGTGCAGACTCCCTACACAGTTACCACTATGTGATTGCCCCAGGCTTTAGAGTGCTGCGCCCTTGGCCACAAAACCTGAAGCCAATAAACTCAGAGCCCTGACTGTCCCCCCGCTGCCACCACCCCCTCTCCTCTGTAGTGGTCATTTCTGCATCTGTCCTTGGCGGTGTTAGTCCCTTTGGCTTTGGCGGACTCCCTTTATCTCAGCTCCCTGTACCTGCTGCTCCTTAGCACTCTCATCAAAGCTTTTGTCATTGAAGGAAGAGCTTCAGGTTATCATGGAAACTCAGAATTGAACTTAGTAAATATTCAAACATAAAACCTACATACACGTTTGTATATGTGTATGTACACACGCATATACACATACACAGTAGGCGTACCAGACCGGGTCTTCCCAATGCTGACATCACTTCCTTACTTACCAACAAGATGAACAGATGATGAAAGGGCAGAATTCTCATGAACTTGAGAGTTATGAAGAATAGAAAAACCACACAGTGAGATTGGGAGTTGTGAAAATTTAGGCTGAGTCTAGGTTTGGAGTCATAAGACTTTAAGATGGGTCTAAGTTTGAGATTATGGTTCTGAATAGACTAGTTGATTGGGTCTTATCCCAAGTGTCTTCCATCCGTAAAGGGGGAAGAAACATAATATCCATAGACCATAATTTTGTGAAATCGGTGCCTCACACTACATAAAGCATTAAAAATACCTTATTATTAAATCACAAAGACAGCCACATTTCTCACATATTTATCCCCCTTCTCTCTCTCTCTCACTCACTCACACACACACACACACACACACACACACAAACCCACACAGGAAAAAACAGGAAACTAACACAAACTATAGAAACAAGTCAGCTGTCACTCTCATGAAGTTTAAAATTAAAATTGATAGCCTTGTTTCATGCATGTAAGCTCTAAAATGCTAATTTCCAAATAAGTAGGAAATAAGCTACATTAATGCAAGTCTTAAAAGATACCCATCAAGTTTCATTATCCATTACTGATCAGCTTTCTAATGAAGGAAAATGATGTGCCATTAGGTTTTTTCATATTTCATACCTCAGTTAGAAAACAGTAGTTTCCTCAGCTATTTCCATAGAAATTACTCAAAACAGCAAAAACTAAGCCAAAACTTCTAGACTTCAGAAGTAGAGAGGGTCTGATTAAGTAAACAGGGGAAACCTGGGTTCCGATACGAAGGCAACCCATAGGCAGCACCTACCACCCAGCACCTCATTCTGTTCCCTGTCTAGCGAACCCAGAAGGGGAGTTCTTAAACCGAATGTCCAGGCAGAATCGGAAGGTGCCAGAGGTAAATATCAACTACTTATTTTCTACTGAGCTAATCAGATAGTTAAGAAAAAAGAGAAAGAGTGGAGGCACACTCTTCAAAAATAAAGCAATTTCACTACTGTACAAATGAAATTTTCCCCTTTTCCTGAAATGAGGCTTCTGGTCACACAGAATCCACCTTCCCCTAAGAGACACGCCTTGCCCACACTTGGTCTAGGCAGTTCAAGTTGGCGGACCCCACCCAGGACTAGCCTATGAGATCCCTGCGTTCCCTGGTCACAGGAGCTGGTTTGGAGCGGGGCAAGTGAGTCAGGTTGCGTCCACGTGAAAGTCAACTGGGGCTTGTATGGGAACTGCTGTGAACAGAAAACCCCAAGAACTCGCACGGCTGCAGAGCATGAGCAGAGTCAGGCAGTGCGGAGAATGGGGCTGGGCTTAACGGCCTGGCTCCCGCCCACTGCCCGCCCGCAGCTAGGCCGACACTGGGACTTTGCAGTTACATGGACCAATGGTCTTCCACTGGCGCTTAAGCCAGTTTGTGTTGAATTTTCTGTCACCTGTAACCAGGAACCCATATTCGGAGAAAGAAATATGAAACTCCTATTACCAATTCAGTGCTGGGTTTGGGGACTATTAAATACTTAATAATGTAAATAATGTGAAATCATGTAATATCAATTCAATAATGCAAAGTCAATCCCAGAAGCAAAGAAATAATTAATTGATCAGCTTTTTCATCCTAGAGCTAAGGATATTACCTTGCAGTCTTCAGCAAAACAGACATGAAATATTTGAGTCATTTATGTTTAAGTCTCCAAAGCAGCAATTTCTTTCAGAAAACTTCCCTGAGAAATACATCACCAGGAGTCTTGAGGTTGAACTCCTTAGTGAAAATAATGTCAATTATACACTACTTTTACTAATAGCAAAAATTGTACACTTCAACCAGTCATAATGGTCAACATTAATAAAGCCATCTGGCCTAAGTATGACATTAATTGCTTATAAGTGAGAGTAAGAAAGGCAAAAATAAACTATGAGACTGTTTCTCCTTAGGAGGTACGATTAGTTGGACAGAAGAAAAACATACCCTAAAAGAGAATCTCAAACTTTTCCTTTCATTACCATTTGAAAACCTTCAGGAGGAATAAAGGTAGGACTCAGAGACCTGGAATCCGAGGTAACTGTCCAGTGAACTCATTCTGTACAGAACACCCCCTAAGTTACAGAGGTGAGACTGACAGTAACATTTTACTCTGCTGCAATCGCATAAACTTCCACAGCTGACCCTTGAACAACACCCTTTAAATGGCAGGGGCCCACGTATATGTAGACTTTTGCCCAATAAATATTGTAAATGTATTCTCTCTTCCTTAAGATTCCTTAATATTCCTTTTGTCTAGCTTTATTGTAAAAATACAGTGTATAAAACATATAACACACAAAACATGTGTTAATCGGCACATCCTATGTTATTGGTAAGGCTTCAGGTCAATAGCAGGCTATCAGGAGTTAATTTGGGGGGAGTCAGAAGGTACACATGGATTTCCAACTGCTCGAGGGGTCAGGGCCCCGCCCCCATGTTGTTCAAGAGTCAACTGGACAGAAATGCAGAAACAACGAATTTTGTGTGTTCCAAGTAAAAATGCCCTTTCAGATTATACAAAGTTACGATAACACAGAATTATGTTTCTTAGTCTCACTGAAAAAGAGATTGAGATAAACAAACGACAAAAAATTCTTTGTAACTGGTCATCTCCGTTTGCAATTTCAAATTATGCCCATTAAATATGGCTCAGTGGAAAATCTTTAGGCAGTTTTTAGATAAGGCATTATTACTATGTACCACTGACCAATGACATCAAAAAGACTTTTTGAATTATTGCCCAATAATGCTATAGAGTTCAACTGTGCAAGCAGACTACACACTAGGAAAAAAATGTGTAAAAGGAACACCCACATGAACATTTACCTTCCACTGCTCTTTTGAAGAACACCTTGCAGCTGCCACAGGTTACTACCCCATAATGACATCCTGAAGCCTCATCCCCACACACCAAACATATTTTGGAAGGTCTTGAGGATCCAGTAGAAACACTTCGTAAAGTAGAGCTGGGGAAAGAAATAAAGATTTAAATAACTACAACTATACTGTAATGGCACCTTTGACACGCTGTATAGCTTAGCTCAAAACTGACCACAAGTCATGGTTCCATAATGAATTCAGCAGGTACTGGTCACACACTGGGACTCGGGAAATGAGGGTAAGCCCTATCGGTGGGGGGATGCTCTCCAGCATTTGGAAGAGCAAAGCCTCTGGTCAGTATCGAGAAATAATAAATCATCACATGTAAACTGTTTTCTTCCTTTTCCTATTTTTGAGGAAGTTTACCAAAAACATGCGTTCAAGGTGAGCAGAGAGGAGGAGGGTCTTGAGCTGAGTCATCTTGAAAGTATTTTTGGCAAGAAAGAACTATTACAACACCTCTCAAATCTCTTCACCCAGACTCAGCTTATACATCTCCATTAAGCCAGATTTAAAAAAAAAACAACTTTTTCCACAACTATCCACTCATTAAAATAAAAAAAAAAGATTGCTTCTACCGCTAGCAATTTACCCCACCCTTGAAGTGTCTGCATTTTTCCATGTTGCCTTACGTTGGTATGTTTGAATTACTTCATTTTGCTTACTAACTCACAAAAGGGACACGGTCAATATATATTTTTAAAAAGCCACACATGGTAAATATCTCAGGTACTGTTCACGGTTAGAAACTGAAGGGTTTTGAGCAATAGTTTTTAGGTACAAATTTATCCCTTTAAGGAGAAATCTGTGTGAACACATTTTAAAAGGAATCTTCTCAAGTTGGATACTATATTACCGTGTTAGTTCATGGCACAGTCTGAACAAAACGTTTTAGATTCTAGTAAGGAATCCTACTTCTCTGACAGTTTAGATGTGTATCAAGTAGGCAGGAAACTAATTTTTTTCATGCATAGTCTGCAGACATTTATTGACTATCTGTCTACCACAGGCCCCGTGCAAAGTACTGAGAAAATAAAAACATTGTGTTGGCCAAAAAGTCTGTATGGTTTTTTCCATAAAATAAAGGACACATTTTTCATTTTCACCAATAGCTTTATTGATTTGGGTATTTTGAGTATGTCAGCTCTCTCCCATGTGGTATAACTTTGATTGTTCTCAATTAATGTCTCGATTTGACCAGTGTCAACTTCAACTGGTCTGCCTGACTGTGGAGCATCATCCAGTGAGAAATCTCCAGCACGAAACTTTGCAAACTGCTTTTGACACATTCAATCAGTCACGGCACCTTCCCCATACACTGCACAAATCTTTTTTTTTTCAGTTGCATTTTTACCTTTTTTTAAATAATGAAGCATAATATACCAAAAATGTGCCGAGTTTCTTCCATCTTCGATTAATGACTACACAAAAAATTCATCAATTTTTGTTTTTTTTAATGCATGATGGTATGACAGCTGTCTCAACACAATCTAACACAATTTTTTTTTTTGAGTGAAGTTAAAGAAAACTAAGCACTTCTGGAGCCATCATACAAAAAAAAAAAAACAAAACATTTTGGCCAACCCAATATTCAAAAACCACCACTGCCCAGCCTCTGTCCTCAGCGTTCCTGGGGACGGGAACCAGTGCAGTGAGTGCTGCGCTGTGCGGTGAGGTGGTGGCTGCTGTGGGGTCGGCCCTCCCCACCGGAAAGGGTGGGGACACAGAGTCAGAAAGCATTTCCCGAAAGGTGAGAGCAGCACGGAGTTTTGAAGCAGGACCAGATGACAGGCAGACCAAGAAAGAGGGCAGAGGAAGCAGGAAGCGTGACGGCTTGGAGAACTTCTAGCTGGACGTGTCCAGAAAACTCCGGGTGGGTTGTTATGGGGCCGCCTTCACCTTCCTGTTAGGGCTTTTGTGTCCATGTGAACCAGCAGGCATGTGATTTAAAAAAAGAAAGAAAGAAAACATACCAAAAGGCTAGGATGGTTGTGATACGGTAATGATGTCTCTGCTTTTCAAATTAGCTGAAAATGTGATAATATTGCTCTAATGATTTAGGAAAACAACCATTTTAAGTGCTTTAACTACGTTCTCACTAGGATCGGTCGAAGGACCTATTTGGCTGCTCCGAGCACTGTAGCATGACTCACTTTCTAGAAAATGACTTCTTGAAATCAAGGACTGAAACAATGTTCTCTGAAGTTGTTTCTCCTGAGAAAAGAGCCCTTTATTATTTTTATTACCATCCTTTGACTTCTTTATGGCATTCAAAACATTCCATTTCGGCACCAGTAACTTCTTCAGCATAACAGCCGGGAAAACTCAATCCATACTCTGTCTCTGTCTCTGTCTCTCTCTCTCATGCACTTCACAAGAAAATATGACTGGTACATATTTAGGATATAAGTTAAAAATCATCCCTAAACTGCAGTTGCCCTTCCTGACTACAGGCATCCATGGGATCTGTATTTAACATTTTCGTGAGCCTTGGTTTTGGTCCCGATACTTAATCCTCTTCACTTTGGTATTCTACTCTCCTTCTCTTCTATTCAACAAGCTCACTTTCTTGGTGATTTCACTCAGTCTCCTGGCTTTAAATATCATCCACGTGCCAGGGACTTCCAACTGTTTCTCACCAGCCCAGACCGCTCACCAGAATTTCAGATCCGTTTCTCCAACTGCCTCTCTGACACGTCCACTTGAGTGTCCGCTATGGCCCTCAAACGTAACACGTGCACAATCTGCAAACCTTTCCCTGCCTGGATCCAAACCTGATCCTCCCACAGACTTTCCCAATTCAGCCAGTGGTAACAGTTATGGGCTCAATCGTGTACCCACCCCCCCCCCCCGCCCAAATCCCATCTAGAAGTCCTGGACCCTGGGAATTCAGAGTGTGACCGTATTTGGGAATAGGGTCATGGCAGATATAGTTAGTCAATGATAATTAGTTAATGAATTAATGAGGTCACTCTGGAGTAGGGTGGGCATAATCCAATGTGACGGCTGACCTTATTAAAAAGGGGGCATTGGGACACAGACACATACTCAGGGAGAACACCGTGTGAAGGCGAACCAGAGGTGAGGCCAGGGCTGCCTTTCCGAGCCGAGGATTGCCAGAGACCCTGGCAAGAACACCCGAGGCTAGGAGAGAGGCACTGAACAGATGTTCCACTGCAGCCCTCAGAAGGAACCAACTCAGCTGACATTAACCTTGGACTTCCAGCCTCCAGAACTATAGGATAATACATTTCTGTTGTTTCAGCCAGGCAGTTCAGACTGTGGTGCTTTGTTACGCAGCCCTAGCAAACTAATACAGCAAGTTGGACTCATCCATGATTCTTCTTCTCTCATACTACACATCAAATCCGTTTGATTTAATTCACTTTACTCTCAGAATACACTCATACTCAGATCACTTCCCACGACCTCCCCTGCTACTACTCTAGTCCAAGCTATTAAGCCCTCTTACTTGGGCTTCACAAAAGCCTTCTGACAGATCTCCTTCTTTCTCCGTACCCTCTTCCTTCCCCTGTGGCCAGAATGAACCTTGCTCACTCTTTTGCTCAAAACCATCCGAGGGCTTTCCCCCACACTCAGAGTCAAAGTCAAAGTCATCCCTTTGACCATAGGGCCACAATCTGGCCCCTAGAGATATCTCTAACCTCTATCACTTACACATTTGCATGTCAGCAACACTGAGCACCTGCCAGCCCTCCAACACACCCCTCTCCGGGGTCTGTGCACTTGGGGACCCCCACCCCACCCTGTCCCCTAGACAGGAACACAGCCCCTCTCACTCTCCTTTGGGGCTTCGCCAAAGCATCTCTTTCTCAGTCAGGCCTTCTCTGACCACTCGGCTGAGAAGACCCCTTCCTCGGAACTCCCTCTTCCCCTTTCTACTTTATTTTTCTTCCTGGTGCACACCACCATCTACTATGTTGTCTATTTTACTTCTTTAGGCTGTTTATTGCTCACCTCATCCACAGGAGAAAGCAAACTCAGCAGGGGCCAGGATGTTCTTCAGTGTTCCCACCACTGTGCACGGAACCGCACCTGCCCCCCGACAGGCACCCGGTCAACCCCTGAATAAAGGGGTGATTCCGGCGCAGTGACACGCTCACCACAGTCACTATAAAACCCACCCCGCCGTCAATGCTGCAGGCCGAGTGCGTTCCTCACACAAAGCAGCGTGATGTGTGCTCACCTGCCCGGGGAGGGGAAAGTGTGCAGTAGCAGAAACAAGTGAAGAGAAACGGAAGAGAGTGGCTAGTATAAAAGAGATGGGAAATCCGAATTAAGGCAGTGCATTTGTTTAGTTATAAAATTACACCAGACATGAATTATTTCTCCTTCTTGTTCACCGACATCTTTCAATGACCAAAGAGCAAGTTTGCTTCTAACCGCCTGTCCCCAGCCAGCTCCGTCTTCCGTTTTTGGAACGCCGGGCTGAGCTCCTTCTCCCGACACTGCCTCCTCTATTTCTTCTGTCGCCTCGGCCCCTTTTCTTGATCACCAGGACAGATTTTCTGCGGAGCTCTATCACTGGCCATCTCTTTTCTTGTCTCTACCTTTGTCCCTTAGTGATGCCACCCACCACCCCGGCTCAAACAGCGCTCCGGTGGCTGACTTTCCAAATCTTCATATCCAGTGATAACCTCTTCCCGGGTTCCAATTCTGTGTTTTCACTTCCTTTACATACCCTCTCTGAGCTATGTTCTATCAGCTTCTGGAAGGCTACTACCATCTGCTAGTCACCCACGTTCAAACCTTATACACCTTCTTAACTGTCAAATGTAGTCAGTCACCCAGTCCCACAGGGTCCAGTCTTCACACGCTCATGTCACCACATTCCCCCCCACCATCGGTACCACGGCTTCAGTCTCATCACTTCCGAAGGGTCCCTCCCTAGCCCTGGCCACACACCCCCTGCCTTCATTCTACAGTGGCTGACAAGGGGATTTTCCTGTTGAACAGTTCTGGCTCTGTTACTCCCCACATCAGAAATCTCCCATTGTCCCCACCCAATTCCGCCATAAATGCTACCCTTGGCAGCACACTTAAGTCTGTCTTCCCAGTCAGTGTT